AATAATTATTTTAAAAAAGGGACAAGGGGGATCTTTTACGTTCATTTATGGGATTAATCATACGATTAAAAAAAAAAGAAAGAAAAATAAAATACATTATTATATTATTTCAAACTTGTACTCTTTGAACGCGTAATTACGTGTGAAGATGAGGAATTTATTATAGTGGGAATCTTTTAAAAAGTAACATCGATTAAAAGTGGGCCAGTTTCCCCCCACCCTCCTGCCCACTTACTCATAAGTATGATCACATAATAGATTGAAATACAACTCACGATTATAATTAAGATAATGAAGATTAAGAAGAAGAGGAAAAAAAAAAAAAAGAGGAAATAACATTTCTCATCAAAATTTGAAACAATAAGATATTATACGTATGTGATACAAAAAAATATATAATATCAACAAAATGACCATAAATAAAATGTACATTCACCCTGTGTGTGGTCGCGATTTAAAAAAAGAAAAGAAATGAAATAAAATTATTAAAAAATTGTTTCGAAATTGTTTATCAGTAAACCTGGGGCAGGAGGGAGGGAGGGTGGGAGGGAGGGGACGGACACACACACACATAAATACAATTATATTATAATATACACCCTGAGAGAAATTTACGATAAAAATACAAAAAAGAAATCGGATAAAAAGTGGGCCAACTTCCTCGATAAAGTACGATTCTTATAAAATACCAAAAACAATTAACGATTGTATATGCTATCGAGATGAATAAAGAGATGATAAATTATTTCTCATCAACAAATTTCAAATAATAATAATAATATTAACCAAACCAATTTTCTATAAAATATCAATCGCGTGTGTGTAGTCAGGATTAGAAAAATATAAAATCATCTTTAAAAGAGAGAAAAACAAAAAAAAAACGCTACAATTATTATCCTAAAAGAGATTCACGATTAAAATACAAAAAAACAAATCCAAAATTAAAAAAGAAAAAATATTCAAAAGTAGGCTAACTTACTCGATAAATATGTTCGCATAAAAATACTGAAAACAACAACTCACGACTATACATACTTTAAAATGAAGATGAAGAAGAAGAAGAAGAAGAAGATAAGTAAAAAGAGAAATAAATAAATAAAAAACGAAGAAGAGAAGTTGTAACGAAGCGAGAGTGCCCTAGAGCGTGCAGGTTGTGGCGAGGGGGTATGGGGGAGGCATGGAGGGGCTTGGGAGGTTCATCGTCGACACGAGGAAGAGGAAAAGGTTTGAGAAGAAGAGGAAGAAGAAGGAATACCTAAAAGAATGGGAGGAGGAGGAGGGGGGGGCGGACGGAAAGGAAAACAAGGAAGGAGTATATACAGTAAGTTAAAAGAGAGAAGAAGGGTTTAAGTAGTGGGGTGGTATGCACGGTAGAGAGAGGTGGGGTGGGGCGGGGGGGGGAGTTATGGGGGAATGAAAGAAGAGGTTGGAGGTGCGTGAACGGAACGTTTCAGTCTTACAAGATACTCGCTTACCTGACGATTCACAGAAGAGCGGGTGCCTTCGTAGGAACCGGTCGTGTGTTGTGTTTCTGCTGCAGTTGCATTTGCAGTTGCATTTGCAGTTGCAGCTGCCGCTGGGTTAGTGGTCGATAACCTGAACTTTCGTTCGGAAGGACGCTCGCGAAGGAAGGAAGGAAGGAAGGAAGGAATTACGCACGCATTTTTCTTTTTTTTTATATATTTTTTTTATAATACACTTGATGTGTGTGTATATGTGTGTGTGTGATGTGTGATGTGGAAAACAAATGGTTGAATTTTTATCATCATGCATATCGGTTTGGTTATCGGGATTAATTGTTAATTAATATTTGTTAAGAGGAAGATTAATTTGATTGTGATTTGAAATTGTTTGATTTCTTTTTATTTCTTATATGATTTTTATTTTTGGGAAGGTTGGGTAATAATAATAATAATTAATAATAATAATAAGTGATTAAAGTAAAGTAAGTTTAATCGGTGTTATTAACATGAACGGCGGACCCAATGTGGATGTTGTTTGGGATCCCCAAACGCAAATGAGTTCTTTGGATTGTTGGGATTATTCCATCGAACTGGCCTGTCTTCAAGGACCGGAAGGTATACTTTCTCACAACATCAACAAATAAAGAAAATAATCAACAAACTAAAAGAAAAATCGAAAATTCATATTCGGTGGAATTATTTAATGAATATAAATGAAATATAATTTTGGAATGTGAAACAAAATAAATTCAGAGAGAAAGGGAATGAACATTTGTTACATTTTGTAATTCTTCATTATTTTGTGTATATTTTTTTTTTGCTGCATTGCTTCGTATTCGTGCAAGGGAAAGAAAGAGAGAGAGAGAGAGAGAGAAAATCCTGTGAGCTTGTTAACGAGGGAACGATGTCAATGCTCGTGCTGACGAGGAAGGGCTTCGTTCAGTCAAACAGGGATTATGAAATTCTTAAACATGTCAAACAAATGTTTCCCTATTATTTCTTTTTGTTTTTTTTTTTTTATTTTGATCCATTAATTTTCACTTTTTTTCTCGAAATTTCATTAAAAAATCGTGTGTGTGTTAGCACTCAATTATATATTTTATTCATTTATTATTATAATTTTAAAATTGTTTTTTTTTTTAATTTGAACTTAAACCTATTATTTGCGACATATTATTTTAATTTGTTTTTTTTTATTTAATCTTCACTTACGAATTGTTTTTATTATCATTATGATTAAAATCAATTTTTGATAAACGTGTATTTCGTGGGAACGATTTTTTGATTAGAATACCAAATAGTTTTGATAAAGATCTAACACGATCGTTAAAAATATTTCCAACGATTTTTATTGGTTATTTGTTTAGACTCATTTCAGTAACAAACAATTGTACACGCATAGAGAATTTATTTATTTTTTTTTTCTTTTTTTTTTTTCAATGGGATCATTAATTCAATAAGAAAAATAATATTATATTATCTCATTGTACTACAATACTTGAGATTTCTTATTACGATGCATATGCACATCATATGCATTTCTATTTCCCTCGCAAGGTCATTGTTTTAAATTATGTTCGCCCTCGTGTGGCAGACACACACACACACACATTCACATTTAAGTATAATAAGTAATTTATAATAATTGCTTGAATAAATTTGTCAAATTTTTATTCCCAAGTTTTATTATATATCGTTTACATTTATCATAATTATATTACAATGTAAATGGATAAGTGTAATTATTATGAAAAAAATATTTCTCACAAGAGAAAAAACAACAGGATGTTCTTTAAATGAGATCTAAAGAGACAAATAAAATAGCAATAAATTTGTATTTTTTTAATTGGTTGTATATTTAAATATAAACGTTGATATGATTTACGTTAAATATATATTTAAAATTATGAAAAATATATAATTAATAAGAAAAATATGCATTCGTATATATATGTGTTGTTATAGATCTTCAGTTAGCAGCAGAACTTGGCAAAACTTTGTTAGAACGAAACAAAGAACTCGAGAACATAATTAAAATTCATCAATCCACGATTGAGGAACAAGCTCAAGAAATAGAAGTAAGTTTTTCTATTCTTTAGGAATTTAAATTTAATTGTTGTTGTTGTTTTTTTTACAACACTCGTAAGAGGATTTTAATTAATGATTGCATAATGATTGTGTAATTATTATAATTAATTGTTATATGCATAGTATATGAAGAAGCAAACTGCTGCATTGAGGGAAGTCAATGATTCGCGTCTTAAGATTTATGAACAATTAGAAGTCAGTATACAAGATTTGGAGCGTGCCAATCATCGGTTGGTCGTCGAGAATACTGCCGATAAAAAGCTTCTAAAAAAGTATGTTTATCTTTATATTTATACTATTATTTCAAATTAGCTTTTTTTTTTCTCCTTAATTAATATAATATTATATGTGTTCAATTAACAAGTATATAATAATATAATTTACTATTATATATATATTTATATTATAATTTAACATTAATTGTTAAATATTTGTAGCCATTTTAATTTTGAAAAGTTTAACAATTAACACAAAGTTTATAATACATATTAATAT